CATTTATTTCAATTATCACACAATACAACCCAATTGATAACAGGATATACCACAATTATAATGTAATTCATTTCAATTATCACACAATACATCCCAATTGATAACAGAATATACCACAATTATAATATAATTCATTTCAAATATCGCACAATACATCCAAATTGATAACAGAATATACCACAATTATAATATAATTCATTTCAATTATCACACAATACATCCTAATTGATAACAGAATATACCACAATTATAATATCATTTATTTCAATTATCACACAATACATCCCAATTGATAACAAGATATACCACACTGATAATATAATTCATTTTAATTATCACACAATACATTCCAATTGATAACATAATATACCATAATTATAATGTAATTCATTTCAATTATCACAAAATACATCCGAATTGATAACAGAATATACCACACTGATAATATAATTCATTTCAATTATCACACAATACATCCCAATTGATAACAAGATATACCACACTGATAATATAATTCATTTTAATTATCACACAATACATTCCAATTGATAACATAATATACCATAATTATAATGTAATTCATTTCAATTATCACAAAATACATCCCAATTGATAACAAAATATACCACAATTATAATATAATTCAGTTCAATTATCACACAATACATTCCAATTGATAACAGAATATACCACACTGATAATATAATTCATTTCAATTATCACACAATACATTCCAATTGATAACAGGATATACCACACTGATAATATAATTCATTTCAATTATCACACAATACATCCCAATTGATAACAGAATATACCACACTGATAATATAATTCATTTCAATTATCACAAAATACATCCCAATTGATAACAGAATATACCACAATTATAATATAATTCAGTTCAATTATCACACAATACATTCCAATTGATAACAGAATATACCACAATTATAATATAATTTATTTCAATTATGACACAATACATCCCAATTGATAACAAAATATACCACAATTATAACAGGGTATACCACAATTATAATATCATTCATTTTAATTATCACACAATGCATCCCAATTGATAACAGAATATACCACAATTATAATATAATTCAGTTCAATTATCACAC